TTTTAAATAAATGTTATAATTTATACACAATAATAGTCTCTCGTTTATTTTGTCAAACATTATAATCACACCTCCCTTAATTGTTTCCCAGTTAAAAGTTCCTATATCTCATTACGATAATATAAAATCTACAGATTAATTCCCATAAAATCAAGAGATAAGGCTTTTTCGAAATAATGGCCGTAAAATTAAAAAATGGAATAATTTTCCTAAAAGCAATAATAGAGTAACGTTAGACGTATGGTAAAGTTTTATGAGGAATGAGGAGAAAAAACTCGTTATATTTAAGACCGAGGTAGTATCGAGGTATGCAAGTTTTCGAAGATATAGTTTCAATTATGAATAAAATAAATTTGGATCAACCTTTAAAGAAAACGATCTTTTCCTTCCCATCCACGTACAAAAGTGAAAAAGAAAAAAAAATGGCGAAAGCCATGAAACGTGATAGATAAAAAAAAAACGGTTTCAAACGCAGATGTGAAAGTGTACACGGAGATACTCCTTTACGTAAAATACGCAAAGATCTCGACTCGACGATATGTAAAATGCGTATATATCGATTTTTCTCATTATAAAACGTACTTCTGAGATCTTATCTGCGAGCATATTTTCTTTTATCCTCGTGAAGCTTCTGCTAGGAGGAATCGATATATTTTATAATATTACGACTAAATATATCTAAGAGGCAGACTAGCCGCTCAATTAAAAAGAAAAAGTAAAATATATAATTTTCAGTGAGGAAAAGAATCATTTCCCATACTTTATTAATGTAGCATTATTTAAATGAAGAAAGCATGCGATACCAACAGCAAAACTTATTAATCGGGAGGAAGACTTATGAAATGCCAAAGACTTAATGTGATTTTTTAAAATGTATATTACAGTACACCGAGACTTTTTATCCGCAATAAATGGAAAATGTCCTAACCTAACCAACCAAAAAGTGCTTCATATATCTCATGTCCGGCCTCCAAGTAAAAGGGAGACGACGTCTGGAATCGACTGCACCGTATGTAGAATACTCTACATATACTAACCAAGACTATACTGCAATCTCCTCTCATTTTTTCGCTTCGAAAAGTACAGAGGGCAATCACGTATAAAAGGAGCGATGAAACTAAACATTCATTTTCTCGCACTCGTAGGTGAGAAACTTGCAGCAAATTCTTTAATGATTATTATACGAAGTGAGCTTACGACCAGAGTCTACGAGCACTACCATTATAATAAACTCTAATGCAGCGACGAATGCTTGATAAAATAATATGTAAAAGTAAGTGCTGTTGTTCGCACAGAGTAAAATTCCCCTTCGTAACTATCGTTCAAGGCATATTTCTAATGGATGGGGTGAGGGTTCTAAAGGGATGGGGACGGGATAGAAAACGGAACGAGAAAAAAAAAACGACAATAAAAACAATAAAAAAAAGTAATAGTATAAAATGACGGAGAGAGAGGGAGAGAGAGAGAGAGAGAGAGAGAGAGAGAGAGAGAGAGAGAGAGAGAGAGAGAGAGAGAGAGAGAGACTTAAATACGCAGATTATCGGTTATTGATTCAATAAAGTGCGCGAGGCAAAATATTTGTAAAGCCGAATTAATCGTAGGGTCGCAAAAATGCCAATAAAATAACGTTTCGTTCATGTTTGCTTGGAATATTCATAAACACGTGCGCCTTGTTATTCGTTCACTGTAATATCTTTTCCACATAATGCTTGGTGATGTGTAGAGCCGGTTCGAGACACGTCGAGACACGTGACGCGTATTTTTTCCGCAAGAGGCGTAATTCTATAAGCTACACGAGCCCTATTTGGTCTGCCGAGTTTTCGCGAGCTCTCGTATTCCACTTGACTCGCGAATTCCAGCAAACCTATGGCCCTCGCACTTATGCCCCCTAAACTTCAGTAAGAGATTAGCATAGGAAATGCTTGCTTTTTATTATCTTTTTTTTTTTTGTTTTTTTTTTTGTTTTTTGTTTTTTTTTTGTTTTTTGTTTTTTGTGTTTTGTTTTTTTTTGTTTTTTGTTTTTTTTTTGTTTTTTGTTTTTTGTGTTTTGTTTTTTTTTGTTTTTTGTTTTTTTTTTGTTTCTTGTTTCTTTTATTTTGTTTTGGTCGGATGGTTAGATGCTGCAGCAAATGTAGATAGAACAATATTAACGTAACCACAGATGGCTCCATGCAAATCTCTGCCGACAATCAGACCGAATGACGCACTTGAATCATCGAGGGACAATGCAGAGTACTCGCCGCTGCTAGGACTTGCACCATTAGTCGCTGTAAACGAGATGTTAAAACGTCGTAATTCTTTGTATTTGAGGAACGGGAGTTGCATTTGGGCATTCGCAAGCACCACAGAGCGGACGAAAAGTGTTAAAAGCCCTGCGAGGCAACGAAATTAAAAGGGTAAGGGACTCGCGCCCGCGCGAGTAGGCATTTCTAATCCAATACTTATATACTTTAAAGTGTAGACGCCGTACGAATCAACGCTGATGCCCTAAAAGGGCCCAAAAAAAGTCTCACGCACGGGCAATCATATCCTTATCAAATTTTACAATAGAGCAGAGCATCGAGGCTACCCCGAACGTTTCTCTCTCGAGCGCACGCAAAATTTCTCAACTCGCCCGTTATTTACTTAACGATAAAACGTTCGAGCTTGCAACGAGTCGCTCGTCCCTATTGCTGATCTGCACGTGTCGTTAGGCGTGGGAGGGAGGGAACGCGTAACCAGACATCCCCCAACCACTTAACGGAGAACTTTGCCATCAATCCCATTATCGAACGAATAAAGCTCCATAAATGCCGTGCAATACGTTCGACTTGGAGCGTCAAAAAGCTTCGTGGATGCCATCGTCATCCTCCGCGCTATCACTCGCCGCTTCTTTAGAAAGCCACGGCAAAAAAAAAAAATACCGATTATAAAGTAATGCCAAAGCCCCGTGTCGCATCGCAAAAAGCTTTGGACTTTAGTTTAACGCAGCCTTAGAAACTCACGGCTTCCCTCACTCATAATAATAAGGGTCGTTTTGGTGTCGATCTCGGCCACCAACTGGCTTTCGAGTTGCGCTAAGCTCCCCCTCCCCATACCCCTCATCATGATCCATCACCACCGCCACCAAAGAAAAACGTTTCCCTTAGACAGACTGATCAACCGCCATCCATGTCAGCGATCGAGGATGCGCCCGCGAGGCGTGGCCACACACCACTCTGATTATACGTGCTCGTGCACCTCGAGGCCGTAAGTGCGCGTATGCGTATCCTCGGACGGGATCCTTACTTCGCTACGCCCATGGCGTTCAAGCTACTGGCCTTCTTTTTCCATTGGGATGAGCTCGAGCCTCGCTCCAGCTCTTTCTCCCCGGCTCTGCGAATCCCAGCCTATTCGAGCTTTAATCGAACTTAACGGAGAAATTAGGCGGGCGATGACGTAGGTAAAAATTGTGCGGTCGACTATCGAGAGTCTTGCTTTCTTTCACGAGTATTAAAGTGGTACATCACGAGCGATTCGTGCCCGATTCCTTCGTTTTTCCTAGTTATCAAACAAAAAAAAAAAAACAAAAAAACAAAAAAAAATAAATAAGAAGGAGAAAGAAACAACTGATAATTAAAATAAGGACTCGGCAACAGCGAATGGGCATTCGCATTTGTATAAACATGAAATAAATGATCTATTCACCCATCCAGAGCCACAGACTAATAGAGAGGTTGATGATAGTGGGACTGTGTCGAGGATTTGCACGTGAGGACTTGAATTACGAAGAAATGCGCGAAGAGAAGGAAAATAACGTGATCGGTAGCCAGTGCGAAGCCTATAATCTCGCTTACAAAGCTCGCCACGACTAATGCAATTGCCAACATTTGCAATCCATAGCGTCACCAATGTCCTACCTTTTTAAATTATTTCCCATCGAATTTGACTGAGAAGGACGCTCATCGTGCAGCCAATTGCACATTTTGGAAACTTTGTTCGTTAAACGGCAAGCAACGTATTAGTCTCGTTGTTTGTCATGGTAAAGCCGTTTCAGACACATTGGGCTTTCCCGCTCGCAAATCCAGCGATTAATCCTTCTTATTAAAGCCAGCCAACAGTAGTGCCCCGGGCTAATCGGTAGAGCGAACGATTGGGCCGAGTCCCGCATCTCTTTAGGACCCAGCCAACTAGCGGAATCTATTATTTCGGCATTTCCGTCGCGCTCTGTAAGCCGAAACGAGTAACGAAATAGGGGTGACATACGGGATCGATTCTCCAAGTTGACTTTGCACGTAATTTGCAATTTGGTGGGTCGAAGGTGGGGAAAAATGCCCGGTCTCGTCACGGGCCTTACCGCTCGCATCCATCGGAGCCGAGGAGGAAGCTGCCGCCGGGTGCCTTAATGCACCGATGAGTGTAAAGAGATGACTTTTGCCCAGCGCGTTTAGTTTATTATCAGCGAGGGTGAATTGCCGGACTGTCGGATAGTAGGATAAAGATAGGCAAAATGACGATGGGCTGATGGGCGAGGGAGAAATGTTTGGCATTGCGACTATCGCGATCGCGGGCGCATCGGAGGCCTATAACTCCGCGGCCCCGAGCTTTTCCTAGGGGCCCCAGCTGCCAAATGGGTTCATTGGAGGTGAAAAGCGGCTGTCGGCCACGTATCCATCGATATTCAGATACTCAAAGGTCGAAAAGGATTCAATCGGTCGCCAAGTTTCAACCCCAATCAATCAATCACTCTCGCGGCTGCCCCTTCGCCGCGTCTACCACCACCGCCACCGCCACCGCCACCGCCACCGCCACCGTCGTCGTCGCCACTACCGCCGCTGCTGCTGCCGCCACCGCCAGGACGCTTTTTGTCCCCCGTCATCGGTGCGCAGCGACGTGGCGCGCGCCGGGGGGGGGGGGGGGGGGTGGGGGGGGGGGGGGGGGGGGGGGGGGAGCTCCGAAATGGCCGAGCTTTTCCGAGAGTCTTGGCGTCGACGCAGTGGAAGCTCCCGGTGCTTGCGGCGGGAGCTCAGTAGCCGCCCGACAGCAGCCGCGGGGAGACTCGCGCGTGTCTTCGCCTCCGCACTTGGACCTCCGGCGCACTCGGAGCTCACGCCCGTCCGAGCCGGTCTCAGCGCGTCTTTCCCGCGCTTTTTCAGTGCGCGAGTAATTGGTCGTTGTGCGATCGCTCGATTGATATGTGCCGGGGTGCGCAGCTGTGAGATCGGGAGTGCGACGAGGGAATATGTGGCCCCCCAGCATGCGATCGGCCAGTCGGAGGAGCAAGTGGGATGCGACGGCGGGCTCTCTGCTCCTTGTTCTCGCCGTCGTTTCCGGTAAGGACGCACGACACTCTCGCTCTGTGTCTCGATCCCTTAACATCGGCCAAGCCTCTCTCTATCTCTCTCTCTCTCTCTCTCTCTCTCTCTCTCTCTCTCTCTATTCTCTTCCCACTTCTTCATTCGCCCCTCCCATCCCCATGCCCGACATATCCAGACTACATTTAACTAACTGTCATCTTCTTTGTGTCTCCAATTGCCTTATCTGCGTATGTGCGTGCGTGCGTGCGTGCGTGCGTGCGTGCGTGCGAGCGTGCGAGCGTGCGTGCATACGTGTGCGCGCCCGAACATTTGAACTCCTTGGGTGCTGCGACGAATTTTTCCGTCCTAGTGGATGGAGGAACTTGCGTGCCCGAGTCGTTGGCGACAGTTTGCCGTGTTCGGGCGCCGCTACTTCCATTGTAAATTCCATTAAAGTATTTGTGACCGCCGTTCCCGTGCATTCTAGCGCCGAGTTGAGAAAATGCGAGTGTGTGCCTATGAAGAACAATGGGGCTGAACTTATGGATTTGGGTCCCAGGTGTGTGACGCCGAGAACCCCGTAAATTTCAACTTTCAGATTATTCAGACCTGTGCAAAAGTTTCTTCGCTTTTCGGCTCACATTGTTCGTTAGCGCGGACAAATAATTTTTCCAACTTGTGATTGAACGTGACAGTGATCCGACGATGTTCGCTCGACGCTCATCCCTACTTATGAAACATCCTCAACACTCGCAAAAATTACCCACTGCAATGAGATCTTTAATTGAAATTGTTCATCTCGGCTAGGATAGTCGTTACATTGATTACACGAGCGTGAAACGGACGAATTTTCAATCAATTTAATTGCAATATTATTTACTAATAAAGTATTTATGGCATCGATGTAACGTCGCTCGATATTCCATTTTCCTCCAAGATTTTGTTAAAAGCTTAGCTCGGGCATTGGTGGGTGGCGATAAAATATGGGGAAAAAATTCAGTTGGACAATATTTATCGTAGCAATATGCGAACAGTTGTAACGTATGGTTCAATTATATTATTAGCTCTCGCATGTCCTCTGTCTTAAGGACGAAATTGAGATAATCGTGAAGAATAATAGCCGCGTAATATATTGTCGTGCGTCTCTAATAAACTTACCATGATTTAGCCGATGATTTTTATGACTTTTATAATCGCGATAATATCTCGCTCGCATTCTCGTCTAGCTAGTGCAAATAAATGTTTGCCTCGCACTTACAATCACTTCATTGGTGCTCATTATTGTGAGCGACGTTTGATATTCCAGCATTCGAATCGCTGATTCTACCAATATTATAGCTAGTGATATTATCGAGACATATCATTGTGTATAGGAAAGTTTAAAGTGCTCATAAACTTTAAAGAATGCTTTGGATGAATTCATATATGGACATCGGCCGACCATCAGCCAACTAGACTGTCTTGAAGTATTTTCCATAAAGCGAGAGATCCCTCTCTCGGTTTCCCATCACGTAAAAAATCATTCGTAGTGCTAAAGTATTCTCGTTTATAGTTAAACGGCTTCTCTACCTTATCGAAGCCCTAAATTTCAGTCTCTTTCGCCTTAAGGGCAATACCGATGATCACTTCTTACAAAATACTTTAACGCAAAGAAGCCATAAATCTAAAATTTCTTCTAGCCCCAGTAAAACCACGGAACGCTCTCGAGTCAATGATGAAAATTGGTTTGCCTAATAAAATCCGTACTTGAGCGTCAAACGTTTACTACGACTCGAATAATGCTCGCAATTCAATTATAATAAATAAAATCGAAAGAGCACGTAGCGATTCAGGGACCTTAAGTCTTAAATAAGTTAAGTTGTTGTACGGCAAAAAGACGAGTTTGCAGGGAAAAGCCTAACGAAGTGTTAACTTAAGCGGAAATTTCACGTATTCTCACGTAAGCTCGACAGAGTCAGTGTCTCGACAAGATGGAAAATAAAATGAATTTGCAGGTAGAACTCGAAGATTTCTCCAGATTAAATCAAATCCCCCGTATTCGCGAAAAAATTCAACAAACCACATCTACCCACGTAAAAATACACTCGTCAATTTGAATGGAAACGTGATGCGATTCAAATTTCAAGGCACACGCAATAGAGTAAAATTAACGAACGAAGCACATTGAATATATATATATATATATGTTTATATAAAACAAGAAAAAAACAAAACAAAAAACAAAAAAAAAACAAAAAAAAAAGTTTATACAAAGCAATTGCTTGATAAAAGTTCCTTTGTTCCATTATTAATTAAATAAAATTTGAATACAAAATTTCCTCCACGCGTGCATTATTTTCAAATCGCGTTAAATAATGGTTTACAAACAAACTGTCGCTATCATCGAAAACTTGAGTGGAAAAGGGATCAAAAAAAAAAAAAAAAAAAAAAAAAAAAGAGCAGGAAAGAAACATTATCGATAGGCTTAAGAATTACGAGAAGTCGAGGCATTATATTTTCATATAAATCTCATATCTCAAATTCGAAAATACAATGTTACGTTCGTGTGCATTCTCTAATATTATTTTACGGATGTTAAATTGACGAAAAAGCATTAACGATTAGAAGAAGAGAGAAAAAACAATACAACCCCGTGCCATATCTATGGCAGCAGTTACTTCGACGTCGAGAAAAATCAAATATCTTACATTTCTTCGAATGCGCATTAAATTCCCTTTTTGCTCAAACATTTATGAAATAAGAATAAACGTGAGAGTAATATCCTTAAATCCTTTTAGTTCAATAATAAGTTACTTAAGAAAAACTAATATTTTAATATCAAAGTTTGGCAAGAGAAAAAAATTTTCCACAAAAATATAATATTATCGACATAAAAATACTATATTTATACGTAAAATGTAAGCGTATTAGGATCCGAAGGATTACGTTTATTAATATCATCTTCGTAAATCATTGAAAAAAAAGAAAAAAGAAGAAAAAAATTTCCGTTCTCATTGTCGTAGAAAGGAATAATTATTCAATATATTATTATTTAATTGGCAAATGACAATTGCCATATTGACGAATAAAATTTTAGGTTATTTTCGCTATATTATTGGACCAACTTCGTACGCGAATTTTCATTTTAATTACAAAATATTAAAGTAATCCAAAAATTTCTTGCATTTATTATGCATCTACACTTTATGTAGATTTTTCTTGTATGAAAATACATAAATTATTATATGTGTCAAAGGATTCGTAAACATAAGCTAAGGATACATTTATTTGGACTTAGAGCTTCATATAATTGAATGAAAAGTACGTGGGAAAAGGTTATATAAATAACAAGAAAAAAAAAAATATTTTCAATTTATATCAAATTTCAAAGTCAAGTAAATCATTTACTTCCTTAAGATAACATAAATTACCATAGATTAATGCAAAGTGGATTATCTCTACAAAAAGAGTAGTTCCTTATCTGTTTATTGGCACATAAACTTTTTCTTTTCTTTTTATATATTTTTTTTTCTTCTTTTCTTGTTTTTTCTTTAAGCATCGCATAAAAACTATCACTACTCTAATTACTAAACACTTAAATCTCATACTTTTTCCATCACGATATTCCTTCACAATAACGGATTTTAAACTTTTTTCATGATTGCTTTTCATCTTAAATTTAAAAGGTTCAACTTATACTTAACTGATGCATATTTCAACCTAAAATATTATTATATTTATGTTAATAGTTAGTATACCTCATGTTGCATCGGTCGAAACGTCCGAACTACCGTAAGATTGACAGACAGATTCAAAGATTAAAATCTTTCGACATGTGGTATTTTGAAGTTGTGATGCATTTATCCTATAAAATTATTAATGAGCGCGTCGAGAACGATAATTCCTTGAAAATTTAATTTTGCCAGGTGTAGGTTAAACAAGTTTGAAGCGATAAAAATAGATTTAGAAAAATTATAATGACAAAATGCAAGTGTGCGACTAAAGGACAATGAATTAATATGTATCGATAATACTGACGTAAATGTCATTTATTAACATTATAATAAATAATTTCAATGAGAAGAAATGTTTATACATTAAATAGCATGAGTTAATGCGAATGTAGGAAATTTCAAATTATTCATTAATCGTATAATTGTATCGAGAATTGTATCTGTCAATTAAGTTAAATAATAATGTTTCTTATTTTTTTGTTTATTTTTATTAGATTAAATGCAAAGAATATGAGTGAATTAGATGAAATGATGAAAACGATTGAAGGCTCACAGAGAGAGAGAGAGAGAGAGAGAGAGAGAGATAGAGAGAGAGAGAGATAGATACAAACTTTTAGGATACGAACATTCTGACGTGCACATTTGAACGGTCCACTTCGAAAAAAAAAAACATTATCATTAGATGTAAATAAAAAAATAATAATAGACAAAGCTGAGACCGTAATTGGATGAAGCGTATATTCGGGAAAACAATTTACATTCACGAGTTGTGCGTGCAATATTGAGGAGACACTACTTTAAAAGCAAAAGCGACGTAAAATTCGTTTAACAGCCAATGGTTGGCAAATTTTTCGAATGCAAACACATGTCTCCGGGATTTCATTGGCATACATCTCCCATCATTTTTTCAATTATATCATTTGTTCCAAGTTTTTTATCCTCCATATCATAGTATTGAGCGACACGATCGATCCTCGCCGACTAAAATGCCAAAATTCATGCCAAAGCCGTCGATTATCGTACAACAACAATGTCAAATCGCTTATTTTACCTATCGGAGGAGGATAATCAGTGGACCTTGATAATTTCGTTTGCCGTAAGTGACTTTTAAAAGCAAAGTTAGTGATGGAACTGTCGTACTTTCCCTAGCGAAAGGTGTGGAGGTAATGTGGAGACAGTGGTAACAGCTCGCTTTAATCAGCCGTTAGCGTGTCTTTGGCCGCCGTCGCCGCTTGAAACGACTATAAGAGAATCGGAGCGGAGTGGTCTTGCAAAGTGCGAGAGCATGTTCTCGTGGGAAAACTGATATCTTCTCCTTTTCTC